AGAGGCCATGCTGGCCGCGGCCGCCTTGTGCAGTGGTCAGGCAGGAGTGCGCTGACGACTGAGCAAAGCGGGTTCCTGCAGAGCCACTCTGGGTCCTGCCCCCGCCCTTCTGCAGAACCAGAAGGGTTACATGGTCCTTTAAGCACCCTCCCTCTGAACAGGCAGGAGAAGGTAGCTGGGCAGAATGTTGTAGGTTTCTGGCTCACTTTTTAAGAAACGGATGTTGCGCGCGTTTGCTGCTTTGGAGAAGAAGCATTGCACCAACGCTCTTTTCTTTCAACCCACCAGATGACGGGCTGGCCTTCAAAGCAGAGGTCTTGCAGGCCCAGAAAGCGCTGTGCGAGAGCTTGGGGCTGCAGTGCACCGAAGACGCCGTCCTCCACGGCCCCCACCCAGGGGCTGCCTCCCTCGGGAGCCGCTACAGCGCCCTGATGCACCAGCGGAGGCACCCGGAGAGCCAGGCGGACGAGGCCCTTCCCGGAGAGGCCAGCTTTGGCGGCGGCGGGGGCCACAGCCCCATGGCGGGCTTCCAGCGCGAGAGGCCGGGGGAGAAACTGTTTGTGTGCCCCGAGTGCGGGAAAAGCTTCCGGCTGCACAAGAGCTTGTTGATCCATCAGCAGAGCCATGCAGCGGGCGGAGGCTACCGGCCGCAGTGCGAGAAGAGCTTCACCTACAAGCAGCAGTTCACCCTCCACCAGCGCATCCACACCGGGGGCGGCGCCTACACGTCGGTGGCCTGCGAGGAGACCTTCAAGCAGAGCCACAACCTGAAAGCCCTGCCCAGGGTGCCGGCCGGGGAGAAGCCGTATGGCAGCGCCAAGTGCGTGAAGACCTTCAACCTCAAGTCGTCCTACCGGCAGCACCCGAAGGGGCACGGGCGCGAGAGGCCCTACAAGTGCAGCCGCTGCCCCGAGAGCTTCTCGCAGAAGAAGAGCCTGGTGACCCACCAGCGGCTGCACTCGGGCCGGGGCAGCGGCAGCTCCCTGGCCTGCCTGTACTGCGGCAAGAACTTCAGCCACCCCTCGGATCTGGTGCGGCACCAGCGCATCCACACCGGGGAGAGGCCCTACCGGTGCGGCGAGTGTGAGAAGAGCTTCACCCAGAAGCAACATTTGCTGCAGCACCAGAAGATCCACCTGCGGGAGCAGAACCGGCTGATGGGGACGGCCGTCCGGGAGGCCCTGCTGGACGCCATCTTCATCTAGCGGCCCCCTCCCACCGGCACCGGAGCTACGGCTCTGCAGGGAGGGGGGGAGAAGGGCAGGGTGGGAGGGGGTGGAGAAATAAGACTGTTACCTCAGAAATTGGGCCTCCAGGGCTGCGAGGGGGCTTCTCCGCGACCTCCCTCCTAGCCTGGAGTTTAGGATCCTGTAGACTCTCGGGTACTCGATAGGACCTTTTTATTTTAAGGGTGACTAGAGATTGTTCAGAGTTGCTGAAGAAGAAAAAACAGTGGCGTTGGTAGTAACAAAAAAATGCTTCTGGGATTGTCTTTTCTGTCTCGTTCGGAGTGTACCATACTGTAGCTGCCCCTTCCCACTATCTCCTCCCCCCCGCCCCCCCTCCCGGTTGTCAGAGGGACATTTTCACTTCAGAATAACTCAAGATGGACGACTGTTGGCCCAGAGACGGCGCACCCGTTCACCTTTTCTGTAAACACCGATTTCTCAGAACTGAACACTTTTATATACTTTCCCCCTGGATTTTTCTTTTTTCTTTCTTTCTTTTGGTCTGTGGAAACTTAAAAAATAAACTAGAAATGTGGAAAAAGAAATTAGCTCAGCGTTCTGGTTAGTGAATGTTTTTTTCCCCCTGGGGAAAATGGAAACACATGGGCACCACTTGTGTTTCGTGACATTGTGGGGTGACAATGAGGGCGTCTTCCCTGGCACTGCTATCTGTTCTGTGAGATCCTCACTTCTGCTGCCACCGTCCATCCATGTTGGGGGCCTCATACCATCTGGAACCCTGGGAGAGGGAAGCCCCCGCCCCAGAGCAGGCTCCCCTTACACATGTTCAGGCCTGTGGGATCAGAGCAAGGAGGGCACACTTGCTGGCCCCTAAGGCACTGGGAATTGCACCTAATGATTTCAGCTTTTAAAGTCTTTATTTTGCAAACTTTCTCAAAAACCTTTAAAGCAGTTTCCAAGCAGAAAGTTGTCTTCCAAGGCATGTACCTGTGTTAAGTCTTGTATGCAAGTCACTCGCATGGCATCAAAACAGACTTGGGGAATATTTTGCAGTGCAGATTATGCTCACATCCAGAGGGTCTGCTTCAATCTGAAACGTTAAGAGGCTGTCTCCAGAATGGTTGCTGTAACCTGATACAGAAGGGAAATTACTATTGCTAACAACCAATATCAGTCGAGACCATGCAAACGCATCTTTCTTTGTAATTAAACATGGCGAGGCCCTCTCCAGTCTAAAGGTAAGGCAGAAGGAAAGGCTTAAAGACGCTCTTGTCTCCCAGACAGCCCTTTCCTCAGTGCAGCATTTCCATAGCTTTCTCCAGATATTTCTGATCTTGCATTGGGAAATGCTCTTCTCTGAAAATCAGACCGTGAACTCCTCCTGGCAGGGAACCGTTCTTGCTAGATTTTGACACTGGATTTAATGGGGGATTCAGCTTCTCTCAAAGAACTCCCAAGGAGGGTCATCTTGCCCGGCTCCCTGCAGTGTAGGATTCACAGCTAAAGAATCTGACAGATGGCCATCCAGCCTCTTGTTTCAAAACCTCCAAAGAGGAAGAGTCTACCACCTTCTGAGGGAGTCCATTCTATTGTCAAACGGCTCTTGCCACCAGAAAAGTTATTGCGAGAAGTGAGGTTACAGGGAACCAGACAGAGGGCCTTCTTGGTGGTGGCGCCAGCTCTTTAGAATGCCCTCCCTTCAGATGTGAAAGAAATAAGTAGCTATCTTATCTTTAAAAGACATCAGAAGGCAGCCCTGTTCAGGGAAGTTTTTAATATTTAATGCTGTATTGTTTTTAACATTCGATTGGAAGACGCCCAGAGTGGCTGGGGAAACTCAGCCAGATGGGCGGGGTATAAATATTATTATTATTATTATTTTATTATTACTACTTGAAGGTGTCTATCATGTCACACCTCAAGTCTTGTCTTATCCAGGCTGAGCACCCCTAACTCATGAGGCTTGGTTTCTAGACCCTTTTATCGTCTTGGTCACCCTCCTCTGTACATGCTCCAGATTATCAATATCCTTAAATCGTGGTACCCAGAACAGGACACAGAACTCAAGGATTGGTCTGATTCAGGCACAACAGAGCAGTTATCACTTCCCTTGGCCGAGACACTTGACTTCTGTTGATGCAGCTTAGAATAATAACGTTAGCTGTTTTTGCTGCTGCATCACACTGCTGGCTCATGTGAAACTTGCGGTCCCCTAAGACCCCCTCGATCCTTTTCACATCCATGTGTCAGGCTTGGGGGGTGAAAGGAAAGTGTCTGCACTGCCACCGGAGGTTTCAATATCCTGCGTCTGAAAAACGGGTTGCAAGTTGGGGGAAGGATCTTGGATTAGTGATGGGACACCTGCTTGACAGGTAGAAGGTCTCGTGCTCAGTCTCCTGCGGTCTAAGTCAGCATCCGGAAAAGTCAAACTTTTAAGAAAGAGAAGGAAGGGTGGGGGAAGCAAGTTTCTCGCCTTATGATAGAGGAAATGGCATTGAAAAACTTCACCAGTGTCAACGGGCTCTCTGGAGGCTCACATTTTGCAGTCGGAATGAAGCCTACAAATTGGTGCTGCAATGTCATTTGAGTGGTTAGGGATGCTCTGATTCAGAAGCATTTGCACACTTTCCCCCATCCAACCCTAGTCTCTGTCTGCTAGCCAGGCACAGATTTCACTGGGGCAAAATGTCAGGGTTTAGGGCTGGGATGGGGCAAGACTAGGTTTTCAAATCCCTGCTTGCTGTGGATATAACAGAATAAATTGCTAAGAACTCATGCATAAAGGCAGCCCTGTATCGGGAAGGTTTTTGTTTAATGTTTGGCATTTTATTATTTTTTATATTTTGCTGGAAGCTGCTTAGACTGGCTGGGGAAAACCAGATGAGTAGGGTATGAATAACAAGACGGTGATGGTGCATTTTAAGAGCAGTTGTTGCGGTCACTGTTTACAAAACATCTCGTAATATCAGGACATAATTTGCAATTATCAGGACAGATGAAAGGAAGTGCCGTATTTTTCGCTCCATAAGACGCACCTAGTTTTTAGAGGAGGAAAACAAGAAAAAAAATATTCTGAACGAAACAGTAGATGTATGATTTTTGTGGTTCACGTTGTGGCCACAGACATGATATGTGATTTGACGGTGAGTTTGGGGTGACCCAATGCAAAAATACTGAGGATCCACGGGCTTTTACCTCCCCCCTCCCAGGCAGCCTCCTTTATATCTAGAGTCCCTTATCTCTTTCCCTATCCCACCGATCAGCTGCTTCCTTTCAACACTCCCTTCCCTCTTGTTTGCCTTAGTGTCGTTTCCTTAGCTGGAGCAGTTTTTTGCTCCTCCTTTCCTTCCAATTTCTCTTCTTATTGCTTTAGTCTTCCTGTTTCCCCCTTTGCAAGTTTGCTGTCTTTACCTCCCCCTCCCAGGCAGCCTCCTTTATTGCTAGAGTCCCTTATCTCCTTCCAATCGCTTGCTGATCAGCGGCTCAGTGGCTTTGTTTCAACACCCACTTCCCTCTTTCAAAAAAAAAAGCACGATCTGCTTTTTGCCCCTGGGCAATTCGGCTCCAGGGACCACGCATTCACTCCATAAGACGCACAGACATTTCCCCTTACTTTTTAGGAAGAAAAAAGTGCGTCTTGTGGAGCTGAAAATACGGTACTTCAGGCAGTGCAGTTAATCTGTGGAACTCCCTCCCACAGGAGGCAGTGATGGCCACCGGCCTAGAGGCTTTAAAAGAGGACTGGACAATTTCATGGAGGAGGAGAGGGTTATCGATGGCTAATAGCCACAATGGCTCTGCCCTGCCTCTATGGTCCGAGGCAGCAATGCTTGTGAATGCTCGTTCTTGGAAACCACAGGAGAAGAGAAGGCAGCTCGTGTGCTCACATCCTGCTTTGGCCGGATCCTGCAGGACGACTCCTATGTTCTTAATAGCCAGAGAGAGGTGTGTGTCTGAAGAATAGTCTCCAAACGGTGCCCCCTTGGGGACACAGTGTGCCTTGCAGGCCTTCCTAAACAGCCGTCCCAATGTTTTGGACTCACATCAGCCCCAGCCCTCAAGGGTATAGAATACTGCATCAGATGGGCAATATCCCCCCCATTGGGGGGTGCGGGTTGCCAGGCTGTGTGGAAGGCTGCTGCTTGTGGATTGGAGCAATTGTGGGTGGTTGGCATCCATCTTGGAGGTCCCAAGTCGCAAGATGGTTAGATTGGTCTCAACTAGGGCCAGGGCCTTTTCAGTACTGGCCCCGACTTGGTGGAACGCTCTGTCACAAGAGACCAGGGCCCTGCGGGACTTGACGTCTTTCCGCAGGGCCTGCAAGACAGAGCTGTTCCGCCTGGCCTTTGGTTTGGACTCAGTCTGACCCTCATGTTTCCCTCCCCTTATGGTTTTGATTTATCAGCTACTTTAAAATGAGGCTGTATTTTAAATTGGGTTTCCCCCCCTATTATGTTTTTACTGTAATTTTACTGGTGTTAGCCACCCTGAGCCCAGCTCTGGCTGGGGAGGGAGGGCTATAAATAAAATTTATTATCATTATTATTATTATTTGTCTTGGGAGACAAGGGAGGAGTGCTCCTTTGGGGGTGAGCTCAAGCTGTTGGAAGGTAGCAGCACCTGCCGTGGCTGCAGAGACCGATGCAGGAGAGACATGTTTTGTTGTAGCCGGGGCAGATGAAAGCGTCCGGTTGTGCTGCTGCAGCTGCACCAGGGCGTTTTTTGTCTCTGCGCTCCTCCCAGCGGTCATTCCTCCTCTGGTCACTGCTCTGGATGCACGACCTGACCATCTGTCTCCAAGCACTGGGGTTGTCTGCAAGGGATTCCCACACAGCAGGGTTGACGTTGCCAGCCTTCACGTCGTGTATACAGACATCTTTGGTCTGCTAGTGGGAACCCAGCTCCCCGTAGAGAACATCCTTGGGGGTCCTGCCATCTTCCATTCTGTATGTGTGACCAATCCAGCGTAGACGTCACTGCGACGGGGACGCGAACACCCCGGGAACATGGGCTTGGGAGGAGAGTACATCATCATAATAATAAAATTTTATTTATATCCCGCCCTCCCCAGCCGAAGCCGGGCTCAGAGTGGCTAACAACATCTTGGTTTGGTAGGCATTCAGCCACTTATTATTGAGGGGAAGTGCGTGGAACAGGTCTCGGTGTTTCAATTTCTGGGAATGGAGCTGAGAGATGCCCTAACCTGGGGAGAAAACAGCAAAGACCTGACGAAGAGAGCACAGCAGAGGTTATATTTTCTGAGAATCCTCCGGAAAAACGATCTCTCAAAGGACCTGTTGATGGCATTTTACCATTGCACTGTGGAGAGTGTATTAACTTATGGTCTGTGTGTGTGGTTTGGGAGCTGCACGGCCAGGGAAAAAACAATGCTGTCCAGGGTTGTAAAGACTGTGGAGAGAATAATTGGGTTCCCTCCTCCCACCTTGGATCAAATCTATGCTGCCAGGTGCCATAAGAAAGCGGCAGAGATAGCGCAGGACAGTGCGCACCCCGGAAATTATCTCTTTCAGCTTCTGCCTTCTGGAAGAAGGTCCAGGGTTATAAAGACTAGGACCAGCCGCCTGAGAAACAGTTTCTAAGGAAATGCAATTCTGGTTCTAAACGCAGCATAAGGGGTCTCTATAGTATAAAGGTAAAGGTACCCCTGCCCATACGGGCCAGTCTTGACAAACTCTAGGGTTGTGCGCTCATCTCACTCTAGAGGCCGGGAGCCAGCGCTGTCCGCAGACACTTCCGGGTCACGTGGCCAGCGTGACGAAGCTACTCTGGCGAGCCAGAGCCGCACACGGAAACGCCGTTTACCTTCCCGCCAGTAAGCGGTCCCTATTTATCTACTTGCACTTGGGGGTGCTTTCGAACTGCTAGGTTGGCAGGCGCTGGGACCGAGCAGCGGGAGCTCACCCCGCCGCGGGGATTCGAACCGCCGACCATGCGATCGGCAAGTCCTAGGTGCTGGGGTTTAACCCACAGCGCCACCCGCGTCCCCTCTATAGTATAGTGTATTTTAAAATGGGGTTTCAGAGTTTTTAGGGGGTTTTGAATGTTTTATGTAGATTTTCAATTTCATTGTTCTGCATGGGACAATGACAATAAAGATATCATATATATCATATATCATACATCATTCCAGATTTTCAACATCTTCGTTTTTGTCTTCCATGCTCCCCTTCCCTTGCAGACCTCCCGACGGAGAAGGCGCCGATTGAAGCCAAGCGAGATTCCCCAAGTCCTTGAGCCGTGGGGGCCCGAGACGTCTGGGGAGAGCGCCTTCGGGGAGAAGGGTCCTCCTCGCCCAGCCGTGTGGCCGGGGAGCCTCCCGGGGGAGCACAAGCGGTTCAGCCCCGCTGGACTTGCCCTGGCCGAGTGGCCGAAACACAGCGGCGAAGCCAAGTCTCACCCGTGCCCAGACTGCGGGAAGAGCTACGGGTTCCCAGGGGTCTTGGAGGACCACCGGCGCAGTCGCTGCAGCCTCGCCCCCTCTCCGGGATGCCTCCCGCTGTCGCCCTCGGGCGATGGGAGCCTCCCGAGGCCTGGGCTGGGCTGCCAGGGAGAGGCGGGGAGTGCCAAGCCCCTTTCTCCTCTTCCTGTGCCACCCGGGGAGAAGGGCTGGGCGTGCCCCTGGTGCCAGCAGCACTTCCGGCTGCAGGTGAACCTTCTCATCCACCAGAGCAGCCACCTGGAGGCCGGAGGGGAGCAGGGCGGGCAGGACCGCCTGGCGTGCCGCTTCTGCCCGCGCCGCTTCGGGCGCTCGGACCACCTCCTGCGCCACCAGATGAGCCACACGGGCGCCCGGCCCTACCAGTGCCCCTCGTGCGAGAAGAGCTTCACGGACAAGAGCAAGCTGACCAACCACTACCGCACGCACACCGGGGAGCGCCCCTTCCGCTGCGCCGCCTGCGGGAAGAACTTCATCCGGCGCCACCACCTGGCCAAGCACCAGCGCACCCACACCCGCGAGAGGCCTCACCAGTGCCACGTCTGCCTGAAGGGCTTCATGCAGAAGCACCACCTGCAGAAGCACATCCGCACGCACACGGGAGAGAAGCCCTACCGCTGCAGCCAGTGCCCCAAGGCCTTCTCCTCCCAGCAGCGCCTGCTGCTGCACTGCTGCGCCCCGACGCAGGTGGTGGCGGCATCAGCGGAGTCTGCGGGAGGCGGCTCAGCGGCGTCCGCCACCGCCCTCCTCTCAAAACATTGATGTACCTCCTGCGCCGTTCACCGGGCCGATCTTCCGGTCTCCCGCCTTCAGAAGGGGCATGGGGAGCAGCGCCCGCGATGCCGCCAGCTTGCTCAAGAGATCCCTCGCCGGACCTCGGCTCTCTCCTGCGAGCCTTGGCGGCAGAGGGTGCGTTGCAGAGCCTGAGCTGCCATGGCAAGGCGAGCGCCTTGCAGGACAGCAGCTCCTCTGCGCCTTCAGTGTAAATGGTAAATCACATAAGGGTGGCGTTTCCCCGATGGGGACTTTGGTCGTTGTGGTGCTAACGTGTGCTTAGAAGGGGGTTGAGCATGAATGTAAGTATTAAGAAGTCTTAAAGGTGGCCGCCAGCGCCATCTTTTCTTTTGTTTCCAAGGCAATCGCTGTCGTTGGACTACAACTCCCATCATCCGTAACTGGCAGCACCCCAGTGGTCAGGGATGATGGGAACTGTAGTCCAAAAAATCAGCTGGAGATTCAAGTTTGGCAAACCCTGGACTAGGCCCTGATATAGCTCAGGTGCCTTTTCCGGGTTAGGGTGGTCGTCCGAAAGAGGGAGGGGGATTTAGATCTGGGGAAATTTGATGTAAAATATTAAAATGGTGAAGAAGTAAGCCTGGTTACGTAAGCCTGGAAGAGTGGAGAATAGGACTCGGTTTGTGTCTTGCTGCGTTTAAAAGAGCCCTATCCAGCGTCTTCGTGGTTTCAAGCTCTTAATCGCAGCTGGAATGGCCAGCCGACCTCTGAAGCCACACACAACCCCAGTGAAGCGAAGCTCCTTCATCTCTTTTCCAGATGTCCAAGAGGTTCACCATGCAGACTGGGCCACGGGGCTCTTATTCAGCTGATGCCTTGCTGCAGAGTTGGAACCAAGCGTTTGGGGAGTCTGGAAAGGGCAGGACCCAGGTGGGGGCACCCACCTTGCCTGAAACCTCACCCAATGGGACTGTAACAACACCTTCTACAATGCGTGGTCCTTGGGACTGTGGAACTTCCATTCTTTTCTGAAATACTTTTCCTGCATCGATAGATTTTTGTTTCTTTAAAAACCCAAACTTTTGTCCTTTAGGGGCTGGACATTCTGTGTTGTGGTTTTGGATAGATATATTTTTTCCTGATTTTGTAATCCTGCTGTAAAGGCTTACCTGGGGGGAAAGATACACACTGGAAATGCAAACGGGAGCGTCGTGTGGTTTTTCTTTCTTCTCTCCTCCTCCTCCGTTCCACATTTTCCTGTTTTAAAGGTATTAGAAAGAACTTCTGCTCTTCTGTCTTTGAACAATTCGTCCGTCCCCGTCCCCGTCCGTCCTGCTCTTGCAAGGAAGCACTGAAATAATTCCATTCTCTATAAGTAGAGACAGCCTTGGCCAATCGGTGGCACTTTCCGGGTGCATGGAACTACAGTTCACATTTGCCCCAACTTGGGAGTTGCAGTCCATAGCAGCCGGAGGGTACCAGGTTGGCGAATACATTTGTGCCCACATTCCGTGCTGTTTCGAACCTGATACCTGAGCATGAATCTCCCTCCTCTCAAATCTTTCCATCAGCAGGCTTTGCACCATGCGTTTGATGGGGATGTGGGGTTGTGGCCGGTAGAAATCAGGGACTGAGTGGCTCCCTAATACCCCTTTTATTATTTTGGCCTTTCACTTTTGCCCTTGGGATCCAAACAAAGGGGTCCGTTGGTGTCGCCGAAGACACTGGAGTGACAAGTTTTGCGTCCATGCGCCCTTCATCTGCTGAGCGCAGCCACATAGGGCAGGCAGATCTCTCAGGCTTGGCGGTCCTTCGCTGGCTTGCAACATCTGCTTGGAAAATATTTGGATTTCATTGAGAGTAGCAGAATGGGGGTATGCTGCCCCTCCTGTTATGTGCTGCCTACCTCGCCAAATATTCTGGTTTTAGCACATCTGCTCAAAGAACCTTGAACCTGACTTCTGAAGAGTTATCCAGAATGCAGCAGCTAGACTGGTGACCAGGAGTGGCCGCCAAAACCATATAACACCAGTCTTGAAAGACCTTCATTGGCTCCCAGTACGTTTCCAAGCACAATTCAAACTGTTGGTGCTGACCTTTAAAGCCCTAAAGGTAAAGGTAAAGGTACCCCTGCCCGTACGGGCCAGTCTTGACAGACTCTAGGGTTGTGCGCTCATCTCACTCTAGAGGCCGGGAGCCAGCGCCGTCCGCAGACACTTCCGGGTCACATGGCCAGTGTGACATCGCTGCTCTGGCGAGCCTGCACCAGCACAGCACACGGAACGCCGTTTACCTTCCCGTTATAAAGTGGTACCTATTTATCTACTTGCACTTAGGGGTGCTTTCGAACTGCTAGGTGGGCAGAAGCTGGGACCGAAAGACGGGAGCGCACCCCGCCGCGGGGATTCGAACCGCTGACTATACGATCGGCAAGTCCTAGGCACTGTGGTTTTACCCACAGCGCCACCTGCGTCCCATTAAAGCCCTAAACGGCCTCAAAGGCCCAGTAGACCTGAAGGAGCGTCTCCACCCCCATCGTTCAGCCCCCCAGACACTGAGTTCCAGCTCCGAGGGCCTTCTGGCAGTTCCCTCCCTGCGAGAAGTGAAGCTACAGGGAACCAGGCAGAGGGCCTTCTCGGTGGTGGCACCTGCCCTGTGGAACGCCCTCCCATCAGATTTCAAAGAGATAAACAACTACCTGACATTTAGAAGACATCTGAAGGCAGCCCTGTTCAGGGAAGTTTTTAATGTGTGACATTTTAATGTGTTTTTAATCTTTGTTGGAAGCCGCCCAGAGTGGCTGGGGAAACCCAGCCAGATGGGCGGGGTACAAATAAATTATTATTATTATTATTATTATTATTATTATTAGCACCACACTCTAACCAACTGAATGAAATAATGTGTGAATGGAGTTACAGATCTTTTGACTCCAGTGGAAGCCTGACAGGTGAGACATCATGATAGGCACCTGCAGGTATCTTTAGGGCTGTTGTGTGGAAGATGGAGCAAGGACCCGAACCAGCAGAGTCAAATACCAGGAAAGGAGATTCTGACCCAGCTTGAGGAAGATCGTTCTGGCTGCAAGAGCCGTTCAACAGACCAGCTCAGAAAGCTGTGGGCCCTCAATACCAGCGGTGGAGGCTGTTAAGGAGAGTTGAATGCCATCTGTCAGGGGATCTTTAGCTGTGAGTGCAGCGGGTTGGACTAGATGACCCATGGGCCCCTTCCAACTCTACCGTACCATGAGAGGGTTAAGCCTGAGTCTTAAGCCACAATTACGTAATAATTAGTGGGGGAGGTGTGTTTTGAGCAAAATTATTCCCCTGTCTAACCCATAAGGGGTTGAGGACTTTCCAGACTGCACTTGTCGTTTCTTTTTTAAAAAATATATTCATTTTTCTTTTTCATTCATTACATACATCTAAAATTCTTAACATTTTCTATATATTCCTCCCTCCCCTCCAGGGCTTCCCCCAACTTCCGCTTCTGGTTTGTTTCTCTTTTCACCCATTTTGCTATCTCTTAATGTAAAAAGTTATTAATAACATAACATCAAACCTAAAGACATAAAAATAACAGTGACTACACCATCATCTTTCACTATCTTCTAAACGTTTTCTAATGCTAATAATGTGAATGTTTATTTCAATCCTGCCATCGTCTATTGACTTTCTTTGTTTCTGCAAACATAATATGAATGGTTCCCAATCTTTTTCAAAGTCTCTGTTGTCTTTTTCTCTTTGTCTGTCTGTCATTTTTGCCAGTTCTACATAGTTCATCAGCTTCTCTTGCCACTTGTCGTTTCTGACCATTGAAGCTGGTCAGATGTCATTAAAGGCAACAAACCACGGAGGCTAATAATAATAATAATTTGTTTCCCCAGCCACTCTGGGTGGCTTCCAACAGAATATTAAAATACAATAGTCTATTAAACATTAAAAGCCTCCCTAAACAGGGCTGCCTTCAGAGGTCTTCTAAAAGTCTGCAACAAATGCAACCATAAATAAAATAAAATAAAAAGTCTGCAACAAATGCAACCAAAAACGAAATGAAATAAAATAAAATAAAAAGTCTGCAACAAATAAATGCAACCATAGATAAGCAACGATCAGCCCCAGCAAACGCGCCCCATGGAAAGGGATGATGGGCAGGGATCTCCGCGCCGTACATGGAAGGGGGCGTGTCTATGCAAATTCTTCCACCCTGTGCGCCAATCCGGTGAAGCGGGGAGCTTGCGTAGCCCTCCGGCGGCCGGCTCCCTGCGCTTCTCCTCCTGCCCTGCAGGTGGCGGTGCGGAGTCGCTCCCGGGGAGCTGCGGCTTCGTCGCCCAGGCCTGGTCCTCGCGAGCATGCGCAGTGCCGGCCCCACGGACCCAAGGCAAGTGTGGGGCTGTGCGCGGGAGACAAAAGCGGGAGAGAAGCGGCTGGGCGGGCTGAGGGTATTGCAAAGGGATGGGGGGTGAGCGCGGAGGGGCTGGTCAGTTGCATTTCAGGGTGCCTTGGGGTGCAGAAGGGTTGATCATTTACAATTCAGGGTGCCTTGGGTGCAGAACGGCTAGGCAGCCGCATTTCAGGGTGCAGAAGGGCTGAGCATTTGCATTTCAGGGTGCCTTGGGGTGCAGAAGGGCTAGGCAGTTGCATATCAGAGTGCCTTGGGGTGTAGAAGGGCTGATCATCTGTATTTCAGGGTGCCTTGGGGTGCAGAAGGGCTGATCACTTGCATTTCAGGGTGCCTTGTGTGTAGAAGAGCTAGGCAGCTGCATTTCAGGGTGCCTTGGGGTGCAGCAAAGCACTTTGGGGGTTCCTTGAGGACGCCTTAGGTCGGATAAAGCAGAAGAGAGGCAGGGGAGATTCCTGCTGATTATTTTGGAGGTGCAGCGAAGGTGCTGAGGGTACTGCTGCTTTCGAAAGATGTTTCTGGCGGTGCTGCAGGAGCCCTACTCTGGCTTGAAAAGGGGGGGGTACACCTTTGCTTTTGGGTACGGGACTTAAGGGAGGATGGCATCTAAGCTTTTGGCTTTCTTCCCTCTTGGCAGCTTGCCAACATTCCCCCAAAGCCCCCTCTCCTAGGGTGAAGGGCATCCCCAACGCGGCACACATCTCTCTCCAACTTTGGTGTTTTGGTTCCAATAAGGGGCATCAAAACCTGGCAAGCGACTCTTACCCAGGACCCTGTCCCCAGCGGTGAAATTTCACAGCTTCCGGTAAGCGGCCTCTGAAAGGCATTCCTTTTCCTGCTCTCTAATAATGTTGGAGGCTCGATTCTCGTCCAGTGCTTGAATAGCATGGGGTTGGTCTGGATGACCTTTGGTGGACCCTTCCAACTCTACAATTTCCTGATTCCATTGCCTTCACCCTTGCAGAGCAAGCCATGGAGTTTGAGGTTTCAGAATCCGGCCTCCAACTGCCGTCGCACCCTGCGACGCCTTGCAAAGCCACGTTTAACGGGGAGAGGAAGGTGCCTGTCCCAGAGACGTCTTCGTGGTCTGCCGTGGAAGCCACGGACACAGGGCTTCCTTCTCACGGCGCCCGGCTTCAGGGCCTGGAGAGGAGGATGGTGGCTGCGGAACAGAAGTGGGTTGTCTGCGAGAGGGTGGTGGCGGAGATGGGGCAGGAGCTGGAGAGCAAGCTGTCTGCGTTCGGGACCCTGATCCGGGAGAACAGCCTACTCCAGAGGAGGCTGGACAACTTGGAGAACCTGCTGAAGAACCGCAACTTCTGGATCCTGAGGCTTCCTCCGGGCGTTAAAGGAGAAATCCCTCAGGTAATATTGCCCCGGCCTGCTTAATTTGCACTACAAATTATATGTACATTATACAAATTATATGTAAATTATACAAACTATGTATGTTGAATGCTCCTTCCTTGGAGGTTTTTATTGAAATACTTTACTGTCATTTGTACAACTTGTATACAGTGAGATTACATGAGCACCCTCCACTCAGCTCTCTTAGTCTTAATTCCCCTCGTTTACCCACCAAACCCAAAAGTCAGTTGCCCTGTTGTTACCTTTTCATTCAGCAGCCTAACAGCCCATGGATAGAAGCCGTTCTTCACCCTGTTGGTGCGACTAATCCTGCTTCTGTATCTTCTGCCTGAGGGCAGGAGATCAAGAAAGTGCCGGCCAGGGTGTGAATCATCCCTGAGAATTTTCCTCACTCTCCTGAGGCAACTTTCTTCCGCTATTTCATCCAGCGGA